CAGACTGCTGAGTACACACACACAGACTGCTGAGTACACACACACAGACTGCTGAGTACACAGACACAGACTGCTGAGTACACACACACACAGACTGCTGAGTACACACACACACAGACTGCTGAGTACACACACATACACAGACTGCTGAGTACACGCAAACACAGACAGCTGAATACACGCAAACACAGACAGCTGAATACACGCAAACACAGACAGCTGAATACACGCAAACACAGACAGCTGAATACACGCAAACACAGACAGACTGCTGAATACACGCACACACACACAGACTGCTGAATACACACATACTGCATTGAGGTGGGGGGTGCGTGTGTGTGTGAGTGTTGTATGTGAGGGGTGCTGTGTGTGTGTGTGTGGGGTGCTGTGTGTGTGTGCTATATGTGTAAGGGTGCTGCGGAGGGGTAGGGGTACTGTGTGTGGGGGGTAGGGGTACTGCTGGGAGGGTTGGGGTACTGTGTGTGGGGGGTAGGGGTACTGCTGGGGGGGTTAGGGTACTGCTGGGGGTAGGGGTACCTCGTGTATGGGGGGTAGGGGTTACTGCTGGGCAGGGTAGGGGTTACTGCTTGGGCAGGGTAGGGGTTACTGCTGGGCAGGGTAGGGGTTACTGCTTGGGGGGGTAGGGGTTACTGCTGGGGAGGGTAGGGGTTACTGCTGGGGGAGTAGGGGTTCTGCTGGGGGGGTAGGGGTACTTCTGGGGGGGTAAGGGTGCTGTGTGTCAGTATAACCCCCCCCCTCCTTCTTACCTTTAATGAAGGGGGAGGGGGGGGACACAGCCATCCCTGGTGGTCCGGTGGTGGTAAGCACTGCAGGGGGAGGGCTCCAGGAAGCAGCTCCCCTGTCCTCTCGCGCAATGCTGTGTGGAGCGTTGCCATGGTAACGCGCGGCAACGCTCCACACAGCATCGCGCGGGAGGACAGGGAGCTGCTTCCTAGAGCCCTCCCCCTGCCTCCCGACCCGGAAGCAGAGTAGGCGCCTGCCGTTTCGGGCAGACAGGCGCCTACTCTGCATTGATGGCGAACCTGTGGCCGCGTGCCCACAGAAAGGGCCCGGCGTGCCACCTGTGGCACGCGTGCCATAGGTTCGCCATCACTGCCCTACACTAACAGAGAGGTAAGCTATGTCACTTTCAAACAGCACTTCCCATTCTGTTGGATGACATAGCCTGGGAAAACAACATATACATTTGAGGAAATATAAATATTTTTTCAAAAGTAATTTTTTGCCCAAAAAGTTAAAAAACAAACAAAACAAAACATGGAATATGTTCTATTACAATGATAAATAATAAGAAGTACATGACATGGTGTTCATAAATCTTCTAAATAATTTCTAAATAACATAAAGACTGTTATGAAAGACTTATGACACTTTATCTAATGTCTCTAATTATTGCAATTCCTGTACCATGAAGATAAGCAAATTGTGGTATACACCTGAAATACTAACAGGATTATTTACTAAAGTGTGAATTCGAATTAAATTCAAAGGGAATCTGAAACTCAAGTCAAAATAGCCAAACTGGGTCAGCTATGTTTGCAGTTTGCTACTTGGCTTTACATTTGAAATTCACTTCAATTCTTTTGTGATTAACTCTGTAAGCAAACACTCTGTAAGCAAACATTCTCAAATAAAAAGAATGATCTGAAATGCGCCGGCTATGCCCCTGACATCATCTAGAACAATTTTATTTTTTTAAACTGGACAAAGATCCAGCATTAACAACCTTCTACAGGCCAATCATTTTATTATTTTATTAAATACCAATTTCAAACTCCTCATTGAAATACTGGTCAACAGCTAGGATTTTCCAGGAGCCGACAGTCTATTCAGGGAATTAGGACGGCAATTGCCATTACTTCCTTGATTGGCAACAACTTGGTTAAACATCAGTTAGTTTTGCCTAGCCTCACCCTTTTTAAAAATTTTTTTTTTTAATTCTTTATATTTGGTGTGTTGTCGCTTTCATTGCACATATAACAGTACAAAACACTAATGCATTCAGATAACAAAGCATGGTTACATACATGAGGTTATACAATAGTTGTTTTAGGTTCTTTCGTCTTATTGTTGCCTGATGAGTTGGCTTCCCCTCAGTCTATGCATCAGTATATTGTGCCGACAAGTTTTTCATTTTGTTGTTTTAATAGCATGAAATAACATAATAAACGTTTCCCTTACAAAGCTTGTGTGCGACCCGTTGGCTATATAAATAGAAAAGGGGGAGAAAAACTTGGGAACAGACAGGTGGTGCATGTGTGGAGAGGTTCCTGGTTCGTAGGTCATGGGGGTTGTCTGCTTCAGAAGTGGGGGTCAGCATTAGTATATATAAGGGGTACCCCAGGATTGGCCCGTTCGAGGTAGGAGTCTGTTCCCGTGTCCGGCAGCACCAGAGGGTCAGGGTTCGGATTCTTATTACTGCGTTGGGGCAAGTACCAACGTCCCTCCAAGCTCCCGGTCCCCTAGTCCCCCCAGTCTCCGCCATCCGCAGTTCCAAAATTTTTTCATATGCTTTCACTGTGCCCCTAATTTGTGCAGTCAGGTTGTCCATAAGTTGTGTGTCTTTGATTTTATGGATTACCATGTCTGTGGAGGGGATATCAGGTTTTAGCCACACTTGTTGGCCACGCTTTTTTAGAATTAGAAAATATAATTTTTTTGGTATCCCATTCTTCAATTTCATGAGAGATTGAATCCACAATCCCCTAAAATAAATACTAATGGCCTAAAGGGATAAAACAGGGATGTCCACTGTCAGTTATCGTATCCCACGTAACCCTCGATCCCCTTATCATATATATTTATTCACGGGAATTTAATTGGGCTGCTGTACAATTAAACTTATGGGTTTCACAGATAATCTCCTGCTTTATCTCTCAAATTCTATAACCTCCTTCCCCAACGCCATCACTATTTTTGACAACTGAGGCCCAACAGAACTTCAAATTAATTGGTCCAAGTCTACAGCTTGTGGTTGGGCCCAGATCTCTTATTGGATTAGAGGATCAGGGCAATTCATGGTAGGAAATATATTTTTTTACTAGTACAGCACTGTCTCAGTTACTCCACACTCTATACACCTCTCTTTCAGAGGAAGCACGGGATAATCCAATTTTAAGTCATTTCTGTTGGTGAGACAGCTCTTTCAATGGCAATACACTAGATTTAAACCCTTTTTACAAAACCCACACTTTCAGGACTGAGAATCTCAATGTTCCTATTATTCCAGGTAGGCGGTGGGCAATGTTATGATACACAATTTCTTGAATGACCACAATAAGTCAACCCCTTATGTGCTCATAGAAATCACTGTGAAACTATTCAGTATTGAAAAAGTCAAAGAGAAGGACATTCACCATATTGGAAGGTTGGAAGGCAAGCCAAGATATCCCACACTGGTCCAGGGGAAAGGGTGTAGGAGTGTAGCAGGTCCAAATACCTGGATTAAAGCGTGAAGAGATTTGCCGCTTTCCTTATTTCCATCTCAGTTAGGCCGCAGCAGAATCCCCAGGCTCACAGTGGAGTAGACACTCAGGTGAGATATCAAACAGCATGCCCGGGATTCCACGATCACAAGTGTAGGAGCAACAGGACGTGTTAGCACCCGGGTAGAGTAGAATACCCGGTTTGTAGCAATAATAACAGGAGCTCAAGTCTTTCACGTCTGGCCAGCATGGAGGTCAGGCTCCGCCCCCCAGAGAAAAGACAGTGTTTATATTACTGCCTAGTAATACATCTAGTGGCAGTCACTCAGATGTCCACTAGAGGTGCTTCCTGGGTCAATGCTGCACAATGTACCCTCTCTGCATGTAGCTGCTACGCGTTCCTCATAGCGATGCAGTGAGGAGGTGCTGATTGGCGCAAGAGATGATGATTGGCACAGAAAGCATTTTGCTGGTTTATGCATTAGACTCTCAATGTTTTCCTATGGTAAATGATTGGATTAAATGAGATCATCAAGCTTGATAATCTCAGATAAGGAGGTGGAGTGTGGGCTGAGTTAGCCGTGACCGGACCCATGAGGTGCTGGGAAAAGGTAAGTAAAGTAAACTACCTTTTTTCATGGAGGGGGCAAGGGGTTAGGGACTAAATGATGTTTCACACCTATACACATTTGTATTCCTGACACAATAGTGTTCCTTTAAAATAGATTGGATAGAGGACTCATTGCACAACAGTATTTTGACAAAAATAAATAAATAATTTCTAAGCTGGCAGCCTTACATTAACTCTTTGGGTAGATCTATTCAGTCCAGTGGCATACTAAAGGGGACCTGGGGGCGGGGGAGGGATGGGGGTGAGGGGGGGCAATCTGCCTGGGTGCCACCAGGTAGGGGGGTGTCATGACCAGGGCCAGGGATGTGTGAGCTTTGTGGCCGCACAGTGCCCCATGTCAGCTGAGGTTCCGGGCGGCGACACAGCTCACACACAGACCAGCAAGGCAGCCTCTTAAAAACCAGCTGCACAGAAGGAAAGTGGGGCAGAGACAATCCAGCGGCGGAGCCATCTGCCTGTGACTGTATATGTGACTGTCATATGCAGACAATCACATATACAATCACAGGCAGACAGTCACATATGCAGTCACGGGCAGACTGTCACACAAAAACACACACAGTTGCAGCCAGACAGTCACACACAGTCGCAGCCAGACAGTTACACACACAGTTACAGGCAGACATTCACATATACAGTCAATGTGTGTGTGTGACGGTCTGCCTGTGAATGTGTGTGACTGTATATGTGACTGCATGTAACTGTATGCATGACTGTCTGGCTGTGACTGTGTATGACTTCCTGTAACTGTCTGTGTTTGACTGTGTGTGTGTGTGTGACTGTCTACCTGTAACTGTGTGTGTGACTGCCTTTGACTGTATGTGTGACTATCTGCATGTGACTGTGTGTATGACTGTCTGCTTGTAACTGTGTGTGTGTGTCTGACTGTCTGCCTGTAACTGTGTATGTATGTGTGACTGTCTGCCTGTAACTGTGTGTGTGTTTTACTGTCTGCCAATAACGGGGTGTGTGTGTGTGTGACTGTCTACCTGTAACTATGTGTGTGTGTGTGTGTGTGACTGTCTGCCTCTAACTGTGTGTGTGTGTGTGACAGTCTGCCTGTGACTGTATATGTGACTGTCACATGCAGACAAGCACATATACAGTCACAGGCAGACAGTCATACACACACACAGTTAGAGGCAGACAGTCTCACACACACACACGCACACATACACAATTACAGGCAGACAGTCACAAACAAACATACACAGTTACAGGCAGACAGTTACACACAGTCGCAGCCAGACAGTCACGCACACAGTTACAGGCAGATCATCACACACAAACAAAGTCACATGCAGACAAACACATATACAGTCACAGGCATACAATGTGTGTGTGTGACGGTCTGCCTGTGATTCTGTGTGTCTGTGTATGTGACTGTCTGCCTGTAACTGTGTGCGTGACTGTCTGGCTGCATAAACAGATAAAAAGAAACAAACGTGATTTAACTCCTAAATGGCAAAGAATTGAGCAGTGAGACTTCAGAGTCATGATCTTTACACAAAAACTGCTTCATTAATCTAAACTTGTGTTGGTGACTATAGAGTCCCTTTAAATAAAGTGCTTATTGTCTGTCTTTAGCAGTAATTTCTCAATATGACCTGTGTTAAAAGCCACAACAACGCACATGCCAACAGCAGAAACTCTAAAGA